CAATAATTTCAGGAAATAAAAGCTTTTGAAAAGATGAGCGATCCTAAGAGTACAACACGATTTAGCAGCCGGGTAAATGACTATATAAAATACCGCCCGCATTACCCGGGTGTGGTTGTTCCTTTTTTGCAGGAAAATTATGGACTTGGCCCGCATCATACGATTGCCGATATTGGGGCCGGAACCGGGATCTCCAGCCGTTTGTTTCTGGAGAAAGGTTACACGGTTATCGCCATAGAACCGAATGCTGAAATGCGGAATGCTGCTGTGGCTGACCTGCAGCAATTTCAGACATTCAGCACACTGGCCGGTACGGCCGAGCATACTTTATTGCCCGATGCCAGTATCGATGTTGTTGTTGCGGCACAAGCTTTTCACTGGTTTGATACCCTGGCTGTTAAAGAAGAATTCAGGCGGATACTAAAGCCCAATAGCCTGGTGGTACTGATGTGGAACGAACGCCTGATGCAGACTGATTTTGAACAGGAATATAACCAGCTAATCCTTAAGTATGCGACGGATTATGTGCAGCACGATCACCGGAATATTGATCATGAAAGCCTGAATAGATTTTTTGCCCCCAATCGCTGCGACCTGAAAGTATTTCCCAATTACCAGGTATTTGACTTTGAAGGTTTAAAGGGACGGTTAGTGTCTTCATCTTACATGCCGCAGACGGGTGATAATACTTATGATGCAATGGTAGCAGACTTACAAACCCTGTTTGACCGGTATCAGGAGGATAATACTATTCGCATTACTTATGACACCAAGTTGTACATGGGTGTGTTGGATAACTGAGCCGGGAAAAAAGGCTGTAAAGCGGAATACTGATCAACCAAGGTCACTTCTCACTTTTGCCTTAAAAATCAACTGCAGTTTTTTATCTTAACGCCCTGCTAAGCTGCCTGGAACAAGATGATATTTACAAGACGATCGTTATTAATTTTATTACCCGCCCTGTTGCTCGCGGGATGCCTTTCAAAGATTAACCGTTCAGTTACAAGCACCAGCAACCAAAGTGCTTCCGGAAAAACTTACTTGTCGCAGCCGCTGGTCCGTCATATTTATACCGCCGACCCTGCTGCCCATGTATTTGATAACCGGATTTACATATATCCATCGCACGATACGGATACGCACAAGACCGGGGCCAACGGTGATCATTATGATATGATGGACTACCGCGTTCTGTCGATGAAAACGGTTGATGGCCCGGTGACAGATCATGGTGTTGCGCTAAGTGTTGGCCAGGTGCCCTGGGCCAAACGCCAGCTATGGGCGCCCGATGCGGCTTTCGCAAATGGCCGCTACTATTTGTTTTTTCCCGCAAAGGATAAAGATGATATTTTCAGGATTGGCGTAGCCACCAGCACAACACCGGCTGGTCCGTTCCTCGCGGAACCGGAACCGATACCAGGTACTTATAGCATCGACCCAACCGTATTTAAAGATGTGGACGGCAGCTTTTATCTCTTATTCGGGGGTGTGCGTGGCGGGCAGCTGCAATACTGGAATAACAATCAATATGATCCCAACGCTCCTTCGCCAAAGGGAGATG